TACTCAAAGAAAAAAAAATCAAGAACATTTTAAATATGAATCACTCTTTACATGTTGTGTGCATAAAATTACTTATCTTGATGATATAAATTAGGAATACTACAAACTTTTTAAAGCTGGCATCCATATACTACTGAAATGCACACATCAGAAATACTGAAGTGTTAGTTCTGCAAAAATCCTTAAGTCACATTTATACTTGCCAAATAGATACACAGTGACTTAGGTTTCTAAAGGAGCCACAGTGACCTCCCGTGGCCACCTCAGAAATCCCTGTCCTTAACCTTTTTTTCCATTTTGAACATGACATTCCTCATAAATGCTAATAAACTTAAAAGGTGTAACAGTGGTTCACGCTTGGTCCCTCTATCCCAGGAAACGACAATACTTCTATTTGAAATGAGTATAAAGGAACATAGCCTTCACACATTCTAGCTCCTGGTTGCAGAAACAAAGCCATGTCTCCTCTCTGATTTATCAAGAACCTGTTGCAGAACAGTTTAGAGAACTGTCTTCTGTGGGTCAATGAGAGATGGTGTTCAACAGATGTTCAACACACGTTCAATATTAGGCACCCAAATATATAACTTCGGCTTTTGAGAGAACAAAGGAAGGAAATGTAAATTGATGCTGACTTGAAGTCCAAACCAGAACGCAGATAAAGTTGTATGAGACATTTTAAATGTGTGTCAAGTTCATTGGTATACAAAGCCCCAAAACATCTTAAAAAGAAACCAAGTTTAACAAAAGAATCCAAAAGTCAATTAGGTGCCTTCTTCCATTGCTCTGAAGGAACGTAACGGGAACAAAACATTGTCTTCTATGTCACAAGCAGATGAACAATGTCAGAACAACACAAAAATCACAGTAGTAACTGTCTCTCATCTGCAGTACATTACTCAACACTTACGTTCTTCTACTGCTTATAAATCCTCTCTGTTATATCCAGCTTTCTTTCCATTAAGAGACTCTTCTGTGTTTGGTGCCAGCCATGTGAAATATACCTTCACCGGATCAATATTCCAATGCTTGTGAAACGATACTGGAATTTGATGAGAAAGGTAGCCTTTTGGGTAGTCCATTGGCCTTGCCTAAGATGGAAGAATAAACCAAACCCAGTAGTACTCAGTGATGAAGCATAATTTTAGAACAAGAAAGTATCACCGTTCAATGGCCTCTGCATGATAACGAAGCAATGTGGCATTGACAAAATATACAAGATGATAACAAAGGGGTTTTTACATCATTCTATTATATCAGTTGATAGGCATTAGTTTAGAACTTCAACTCGTGCTGCAGTGATCATGCTATGAAGTACACTGATATTAAACATACCCCATTTCTCAGGATGAAATGGTCACCACCTATGAAAGCAAGTGATAAACAGTGTGGTTTGTATTGCATCATTTTAAATATACAGTTTCTTTGGTGATGAAAAGATTTTAAGTAATACTCTCTTGCTTCTCCTCTTATTAAGAGTTGCCAGCACTGCCAGTGTGATTGTAGGATCCTTCTAAGGCCATAAGCAGCCAAAATATATGAAGTTTTATGATGGGGAAAGGTTACCAAATGCAGGAAATACTGTGATGCCGGAAAACTGCATTGTTATTCTTTATCAGATTATATCAAAAGAGACAGAATTACATGATGCAGCTGACTTCTTAATGCACCAAGCATGTTTCATTTCCTCTGACAGTTTAATGGCATGTCAGCACATCATTATATAAAAAGGCCCCACCTGTAGTGGTCCCTGGTAAAATAACTAGATTTTGCCATGAGTTTTTGCAAAGAGAAATGCATGAAAAGCACACATTTATTTTTTTTCTAGATGTAAAACACAAGAAGAAAATTGAGTGATTTGGATACTGAATCACTGATTTGATGCCTAAGCTAGTAACTGATTTAATTGTGCATGCTTCACCCACTTACGGCTGTATTAATGAATTCTATATGCTGTGTTCTTCATGCAGTTCCGTATACACTCCCATCATAAAATTAGGCAACAGAATTTGACATTAAGAAATCTGAATATGTGTTGTTGATGGGGTTTTTTTTTGATATTTAAATCACAGAGTGCTTATTTTTAAAAATTCCACTGGAGAAATCAAGAGGGAGCCTGTCTCCCTCAAGACCTTTGAAAAAAACTTTAATGTGCATTTAGGTTTCAAAAACCTGAAGAATTTAATTTGGATAGAGACAGGTTTTAGATCCAAGACTGAAGATTTTTGCTCTTTGAAAATCAATCAGCTTTTTATCGAGCTACAGAAAAAATTTTGGTGTTTTGATAATTCTAAAAGAACGAGATCTGCTCTAATAACTATCATTTTTATTACATTGCTCTCTAAGAATCACTGCTTTATAGGTGGCTGACCTTAAGATAAAAATTCCCTGAATTTCTTCTTCCTTACATTTTGTGGAATCAATTATTGTAATCTTTGTGCTTTTTTTGTGCTAGAATTTGTATTTGCTATTCTACAAAAGCCAAATACTTTGCTCTTGCCCAGATTTTATATTTTAAGACCACAATCCTGGCTGCTACTCAACATGGGAAGGTTCCTGTTCTCTTTAAGAGTATCATCACGTCAAAAGCCTCTGGGTTTTGAAGGTTGCAGAATACGTATCTACCTTAGCATGAAGCAAACAGGAAATCAGTAAGAGTGAGCGAACACTGTTACATCGTAGACACTCTAAGGATGAAGATAACTTTGCTTCTGTTTCATAATATATACTCAGTACAATTTTGGATTCATGTACTTCAAGAAGCATTGTACATCATAATATTTCAGTCAAGTCTTTAAAAAAAATTTTCTGGTTGACAGAAAATCCAATTTTGGTTTTTTTTTTCCAATTTAAAATATTTGTTGCATAATAGCGGAATTTGTAGAGAAAGCACACTCAATTTTTGTTCAGTAGTTTTCACCCCGGGGTTACTTTTGGTTCAAGGTATGTTAAATTAGAATTTGTTATAAGCAACAGTAAAGATGAATTACAGTTGAAGTGTAATTTTCTGTGTGGAAAATCAAACTGCTAGGATTTCACTTTCAAAGTGGTTCAGTATATCAAATGCACACCATTAAGGATTACAAGGAGGTGCTTTGTTTTGTTGTATAAGGGCCATTCCTACAAATCTGTAAAATTAGTTCTGTTCTGTCAGACTCTCCTTTAATTAGCTGTTTTGATTTTTCTAAAAAACACCTGTGCAAGCACAAATTATTCAATAACTGTTGATTTTATAAGATACATTACTTGCCTTCTTTCTATACCGAAAGGAGTAAGTGGTGATAAACAAAACCGGAAAGTAAATAGATACAATTTTTGTATATGGACAAGAAATTGAAATATTGAAGAGTAAGTTCTCAGTCTTCCCATTTCTCTAAATAGTAAATGTAATCAGAAAGAGAATCTTAATGTAAGAAAAACTGGTAATTGAAACAGCAAACTTTTCCCCCCTACTGACAGCTGCTTTGAATTACATGGCAATTTACTAATTTTCAAGTAGCCTACTATCTTAATCTCAGTTCATACTCAGATACACAGATCTTGCCAGTTTTTGAAGTAGATAAACACCTGAAAAACATCAAACACTATACCGATTTAAATGCTGATTTTTAAAAAAGTTGTGCACTGTTTGGGAAAAATCATAAGTGCTTCTTCTCTTTAATGCCATGGGAGGAAGGCAAAGTGTTTATTTGGTTTACGAGGCAGCCAGTCTCTCTGGGACTCAATGCATCGTGTTTTCCACTGTGACACTACAGTTAGATTGTTAAATAGTCTGAAAAACAGAAACAAGATTCAAATCTACTCCAACCCACTTCTCCGAAACTGGAGAATATACTCACAAGAAAATTGTTTTGTGACCTCTTTTTCCATTGTGCTAGCATAGGGCAAATTATCATATTTATACCATTCTTCAGAATCCACCACAAAAGCAACAGTTCTGGGAATACTTTTACATTTTATATCTTCACTAACGAGATATTTCAGAATAGTGAACACTGAATCAATAGAAAAATTGGATAAGTAGAAAAGAGAAATTTACTGAAAAATTTCACAGTCAGTTCTCCATTACCTGAAGAAAAAAGTATTGTGTGGTGTGTTTTTTTTAAATTTTCTTAGAGGACATATCACAAATATTCAAAGCATATGGCTCCCAATTCTATTTGTTTTTCAAAGTTCCTACCTCTGACTGCATTTTTTATAAAATGCATTTTTTATAAAACGTAGTCATAAGGTAACTGAAATATCTTATAAACTATTAAAGCATTGTACTAATCCATGCTTTGAGAATATTCTTATTTGCTTCATCAAACTTGTTCTGGAGAGAAATAAGGTATAGCAGCAGCGTCCTGGTTATCACTATTACACATTGATCAAGTTTGCAATATTTGTAAGTACTGTTTTACGTGTATACTTAAAAGAATGAAATACATTTTAAATACTAGTAAAAATAACTCTCTGACCTGATGGAAAAGTGGACTATGTGTGATAGGGATTCCTAAGCCACTGAAACACATCCCAAGGACCATATCATCAGGTGCGTCCATGCTGTAACACCGGCATTTACTAGCAAGTAGTTTCTGAACAGCTATTCTGCTGAAAACCATCCTGAATGAAAAAAGCAAATGAAACATATAAGACAATAACTATTAGAGAAGCCAAATGACTGTAATTAATAAATATTGCTTATAATGAAATATATATATAAATACAATGTGTGTATATATATTTATGTATATATATAAATATAATGAAAATTAATTATGCCAATTGTTGTTAATCCAACAGTTACTTAGCTAGCCACCATTTTTATCACAGCTGATAATTCCTCCTCAATTTGGCCAGGACTTTACAGGGATATTCTCCTCTATCTTACTCAAATGTATTGTCCAGTTAGTTATCATGTAGCAATTACATGAAACAAACTCTAAACCTGAACTGTCATTCCTTGCATCCACTGTTACACAGTTCTCTCCATAAATGAAAAATGTTCCTTGAAGCCATTGCAAGGCTCATCTGTTCATCCGAACTGTCTTGCTCATCTAAGTATCAACCGTAGCCTGGAGCTGCTAGATCATTATCACTAAAATAAGCCTTCAATAGACCAGAAACATGATGATGTCTTAAATTCAACAACTGAGGGAATATACTTGTGTTTAGTATTCCATAGCTGCCTTTTCTGAAGTTACATCATCCACCCACTCCAATCAGAATACAGGGTACTCTAGCTAAAAGTTACATGAAAAAGATTCACACTCTGAAATCACTACATGGCTTCATGAGTTCATTCACTATATGACAATCCTTCACTTGACACTGGTACATGGTAAAACTTCTACGAATACTGAATGCTAAGGCAAAAAGATTGACCTGAGAATATTGTCAGATTAAAGTTGTAAAAGATTCCATCACTATCATTGCAACTTTGAAGACTGCATGTATTACAGAAAAAAAAACCAGAGCGCGCACTAGGAAGTTGTATCTCAGTGCTCAGATCAAATACAAAAGGAATGATAAGCTAGAGCCTTGGGGGTGTGGGGGGGGAAGAGTTGGGACTTGTGACCAGCATGTGTTGCTACACAGGTGTGACATAAATTGCACACATTTGGGGAATATATGTGCTAGTTGATTATCTGGACTGTGTCCCTTCAGTCATATAGAATTCTTCTCTTACAATGAACCTTCTCAAAATTAGGGTATGGAGCAAGGTTGGTGATCTGTACCTCTATCTGCTCAAACCTGAGAATGAAAATAACCCCCAAATTTTAACACCTAGATGACAGAATAGAAACTAAGAGATAAACACTAAAAAGATACAGAAGTATAGGACTGGTAACCAACAAATATACCAGCACCAGTAGGAGGTTTGTTTCTTAACTCAAGCATAAACCCTATTTAAGTAAGACCTTATGCAACTATGCAAAACAATGAGAATGCCAGTCAATTGATTTTTACTTACTCATGGATGGATAAGAATCTAGGAAGTTATCATAGCCACTACTTTTCACAGAGAAAGACACTAAGGACACTCAGACATCCACACTACTTGCTTTAAACACACCAGATGGACAGATCAGAGTCTTAAGATTGTTCTTACTGCAATATGAGCCAACCTGAAAGTTCATATACATGTTAATTTAAACCAAATTTTCCACACGATCACAGGGACCCATGTGTCTCATGCATGAGATAACCCACAATGATCTCTTTCTATGAGAAACTATTTTCCAGGACATCAACAACATCAAAGTCCTTGTTCAGCCACCTCTCCATAAATCATCACATGAAGTTCAAAAACAGGAGGATCATTATCATTTTTCTCCATGCTTGGACAAAGAAAGAGAACAGGAACAAGTATTTTCATTGCGGCAATTTGTATCCCCAGGTGTGCTGCTTTGGGTTCTCCTGCAAACTCCACAATAATTCAGGTCATGAGGGTATTTTTTTAAGCAACTATCCCAATTGTCTCTGCTTACTACACTCTGAATCACTGTAAGATCGTCTCTGAGTATGCAGAATGAATTCTATCAGATGAAACAAGGCTGCATGATGTGTATCAGGAGAACGTGTGGTGCAGATAACTGATAATAGGCACTCACTTCACAGGAGCAGTCAAGCTGAAATAACCCCTTCTGAAACATGCGTGGTCCTCAGCACCAACTGTTTTGCTCTACAAATCTGTTCCCAACGGGCAGCACAACTTCTTACTAGTTAGGACATTTGGGTCTTTGAGCATCGTTACATTTTAATCATATTGGGGAACATCATTGTTTCCGCTGAAACTGATTTCTGTTGTAATTCAAAACATTTGCACTTAAAGCAGGGACTGATAAAGATCTCAGTAGGAGTTCAAATAAATTACCCTCCTCCACCAGTGATATAACTATATCCTCCTGTTCCCAAGCCGTAACCATAACGCTCTCCAAGAAATACTGGTTCATTTGGGTCGTAGCAGCTGAGCAATCTTCGGAGTCTGAAGATACTATAACATGAAAATCCATAAAAAAAAAAAAATCATGTAGACATTAATTTTGAAACAGACATTGCTAGCCTAAATGGCATTCTAGTAAATAGCACAAAAAGATAGTAGAAATTCTGATTTTTGTAGAATTTCTGAGATACAAACTGTTAAACAGAAATTTATGATGGGTTATTTACTATGAGATATGACTGCTGAATTTGGTCAAATCAATTAGCTTAAAATATTTTTCTGAAGCAGGCAAAGTTTCGCAGCAAAACTGAGCCTCATCTCAGAGACAAAGTGAAATTATTTCTTCCAAACAATGGTAAGATCTTTGCAAATGATCTTTTCTTCCCAGGAATTGAAAAACAAAAAGTTAGATTATATGAATACTGCTTTATCTACAGTTATAGCCTCTTCCAAATTCTTCTGTCACATGATTTAATATAAAGTGTTGTCTTCAACCACTTATTGTCATGTTCATCATGATGTGATCCTGCTGGTTGATCACTGTGCCTTATTTTGCTTATAATGCAGTGTCAGTGTTCATGTGAATAGGATCTAATTTTTTAACAAAGGCAAGTCCCTGGACACCGTTCTGGGTGGCTCTGACTCTAGCTTATGGAACCTTTCTTCTGGTACATTTATGTGAGGAATACATCTCACAAAGTGTATTAGCAAATGACTAAAACCAATCAGCTCAGACATACCTACACTGAAGAATCACAATGTGTAATCATATTCAGACTATATGATTACATAGTAACACTAATATGCATAGTGTTTATCAAGTTACAAGATTACATTGTTTTTAGTATCAGTCAAGGAATGCTGAAGGAAAGTGACAATTTTTTTCCTTAAAGGAATATAAAGCTACATAACTAATAAAACAGCTGCATCTCTTAAATAGAGAAGAAGAGAGAAATATTGCTAGAACTCCTATTGACATGAACAGTGGTAATTCCTCAAGTATTGCAATGTATACCTTATCAGTGTGTCATCATCCACTATGACTAACCAAGGAGTTCTGGGAGAGCTATGATTCAAAAACCTTTCCAAAATGGCAAAAGTTTTCCCACAGTGACCTAAAGGAAGAGAATATGCAGAATATAACAGAATATACATTTAAATAAAATGACATTTTGTAATAAACAATTATTCATGAATTAAATAAATATTTTACTGCAATACGCAAAACATTTTGGAAATGACTGGCAAAATATTTGCGATGCAAGTTTAAATTACATCCTTTGTTGAGCTGAATGGTATTTGTACAAATTGTTCCAATGCAACCACTGCTTTCTATGCAGGAACGTATTTTTGAAGGTTGTTGAAGTATGGAAATTCTTTGAATTATGGAAACCTGAAAAATAAGCTTTATTCCAGCTATCCTGTTAAGCTGTTGGTCAATACTGGACAAACTGCTACTCTTAATTTCAAAAGCTGTAAAATTAGGAGACTATGATAGAAACATGTTCTGCAAAATACTCCAAGATATTTTCATAGGATTTAATGATCCATCAGGCAGGTCCATTGCTTTTATATAAATATTTAAGTCTACATTAATCTACCATACTCATCACCGTCAACTCAGGACCTGATAACTTCCTCCAAGGAAAGGTCTTAACATTTATCACCAGACTATAATGAAGCTGAGAGGTAAAACACCCTTTACTAGGAGTTGAGAAGTGAAACACCCTTGTTCAGAATGAGCAGGACAAGAGAAACAAGACATTTCAGACTTCTACTGAATTTTCTTTAGATCTTGGAAAAAATCTAATTGCTAACAGTCTTTATTCATCTAGATTACAGTTGATTGTCTAAAGCAATTATCGCTATCAATATTCCAATTACTGAAAAATAATTAAAAAATAAGGATAGGATACTATATTTGAAGCTACTTCCAGTTAAGATATTTTTTGAGAAAATGCAGTAACTCTATGCTTAAGAAATGAAGGAAGTCCTGACTTTGCTGATTTTGTGAAACCATGAACTTAATGCAGACTGATAAATGAATGTTTGCAAAATTAAACCCAAGATTTCTATATTATATTCTGTCATGAAAGATCAACAAAAATGGTATTAGAGGAAACTCAGCACAGTTTGTTTCGTTTAGAATGCCAGCAGCCCACAGGTCCCACTGCTCCCCACAGCGATGCTCAAAGGCCAGACTTGGAAGGTCCCTTCACCCTGGTGTGACCAAACTACTGGGCACGGCTTCTACAGATGATCCACGCATGCCCAGCAGGTCTGCTACCTCCTGAAAACACTCACTGGTTGCACATGTCACGCTGCAGCTGTGCAAATGGAAATCCCTGCCTAGTCTCTCTCTGCCTCTAATAGACCCCGTGGGGGACAAAAAAATAGGGCAGCTGGAAAGCTGCAAATGATCCAGAGATCAGAACAACTGACCTAGTGAGCCAGATAAAGCTAATAGGCCATAGCCTGGACAGCTCTAATTCAGAAGGTGAGTAACAGCCTGTAGCAGAGACTATAAGCCTAAGAACAATAGATCAAATGAAAGAAAAAACCCTAAAATTAATAGTGTCATGGAAGCCATCATATCCATAGCCTTTTTGCTATTCAAACACAAAGTAAATTAATTTAAAACCACATTATTTGTCATAAAAAGATCTTCCAATCTTAACATTAAGGTTTTGTGCTTAAATCAAGACATATGAGGCATAAGCATATAATATTTGAATACCATATGGCAAGTAGTTCATGCTCAGTAACCAGTTGGCACTGTCTGACATCTTTTGAAATAAATCTATGACTTCTCCTACTATTGATGATCTTACTCAAAATCATCAATAACTCAGGAGTTATTACTCTTACCCCAAGTAATAACACCAATTTTTGTCTCTTGGAGTATATCAGTGTACAATGCTTTCATAGTCACAGTATTTAGGTTTCTACTAAAAAGAACATTCTACCTACGCAGGCAAACTGTGTTCTCCATCCATTTCCTGTGCTGCACAAATATGCTACAGAAATACAGAATTTCTAAATTACGTAGTACACACGAAATACACATATCATCCACAAACCTTACTTTCTTTACACAGTTATTTGTGCAAAACTTGACAACAACGGTCAATAGCTCACCTCTGTCAGTATTAGGTACGCCTAAATCTATAGTAGGGATGGAGATGTCTGCATAATCACTGTAGTATTCAATAAGGGCAGCTTCTCTTTCCCAAGTCTGCTTTACAACTGGTACTGCAAAACAATTGTTGACATTGAAACACAAGTAACTTGATTAAAATAAGTACTTGATCAAAACATTCATGCACCTTGTTAACTGACATATTCCTTTGCATAGTAATGAAAAAGCTGTTTCAAATACAGCATCATGGTTCTAAACGTTCATTCTTTTTTCTTTTCTACAATATTTAGAGAGAAACAATTTTACATTTTTATGAAAGACGGTCAGGACAGTTTTATTTATATAATAATACATTTTCTTTTAAAATATGACTATAGTTTCATTCATATTACATTGGAAACTGTGATGTTTACATTTATGCTAACCAAAGTATGGTATTCATTACTTTTACACTTGCTATGGTAGCCTTTATAGTACACATCAGCATGAACACTATCAGAGATCAATCATTCTTCCAGTATTGAAAGTCGCATTTTAAAAACACCACATCCAACTGCACAGTGTATAAAATATTCTGAATCAGAAACAGACCAAATGCACCTTTTGAAATACTACACTTGTGTTACATACATCATATCCGACAGCAACATCATGTTAACGCTCAAAAGCACCTGTCTCTGGAGACACACTCAAGGAAGGACATTTATAAATATCATACAACCAATTTTGATCCCATGGAGATTCTATTCAAAGGAGGACTGCTTAATTCTTCTCTACAAAAGCAATCCTTTTCTTATTAGTTTGCCATTTCACATAAACATTTAAAACTGGTCATACAAAATTCTAATAATGATGCTATGAATGTTTAAATTATATCCAGAAGTAAATAAATTATGGGTAACACAAAAAAAGCCAAATGCCTGCAGGGTGTTTGGAAGAGAACTATCGGAACAAAATAATGATCTTTTTTCCATTTTAAAAATTAAGCAGTCAGGACTTAGATGAGCAATTACTCTGAAACAGTGTGCATTCTGCAGTCATTGTTTGTCTGCTTTATGTTCTTTGACACCATCCAGTAGGTCTCACTGGTAGCAGCTAGTTCTTTAAATGGAAGAAATATTTATATAACTTCCCTTTGCTGCTATATAACTCTGATGCTTGTGAACAACTAACTTTAGCCCCTTGCTGGAATCACCCATCACCTAATTTGATGTTTGCTGCTGTACTAGGTTTGTGTGGCAAGGTTTTGGTAGTGGGGGGCTACAGGGGTGGCTTCTGTGAGAAGCTGCGAGAAGCTTCCCCCATGCCCAACAGAGCCAATGCCAGCCGGCTCCGAGATGGACCTGCTGCTGGCCGAGGCCGAGCCCATCAGTGATGGTGGTAGTGCCTCTGGGAGAACAGATTTAAGAAGGGGGAAAAAACACGCACAACGGCAGCTGAAGAGAGATGAGCGAGAATATGTGAGAGAAGCAACCCCGCAGACCCCCAGGGTCAGTGCAGAAGGAGGAGGAGGAGATGCTCCCGGCGCCGGAGCAGAGATTCCCCTGCAGCCCGTGGGGAAGACCACGGTGAGGCAGGCTGTCCCCCTGCAGCCCAGGGAGGTCCACGGGGGACCAGATCTCCACCTGCAGCCCGGGGAGGACCCCACGCCGGAGCAGGGGGATGCCCGAAGGAGGCTGGGACCCTGTGGGAAAGCCCATGCTGGAGCAGGCTGTGCCTGAAGGACTGCAGCCCCTGGAAGGGACCCACGCTGGAGCAGTTTGTGAAGAACTGCAGCTTGTGGGAAGGACCCACATTGGAGAAGTTTATGGAGGACTGTCTCCCGTGGGAGGGACCCCACGGTGGAGCAGGGGACGAGTGAGGAGTCCTCCCCCTGAGGAGGAAGGTGCGGCAGAGATGTGTGATGAACTGAACCCAACCCCCATTCCCCGTCCCCCTGCGCTACTGCGGGGAGGAGGTAGACAGAACTGGGAGTGGAGTTGAGCTGGGAAGGAAGGTGGGGTGGAGGGAAGATGCTTTAAGATTTGGTTTTATTTCTCATTACCATACTCTGATTTAATTGGTATTAAATTAAATTAATTTTCCCTGAGTTGAGTCTGTTTTGCCCATGATGGTAATTGGTGAGTGATCTCTCCCTGTCCTTATCTCGACCCACGAGCTTTCATTATATTTTCTCTCCCCCATCCAGCTGAGGAGAGGAGTGATAGAGCAGCTTTGGTGGGGACCTGGCGTCCAGCCAGGATCAACCCACCAGTTCTTTAAATAGAGGAAATATTTCTATAACTTCCCTTTGCTGCTAAGTAACTCTGATACTTGTGAACAACTAATTTCAGCCCCTTGCTGGAATCACTCATCACCTTATTTGATGTTTGCTGCCTACCTACTTGCTCACTTTCCTCTATTCTGATCACACAGGGACTTGAAGGATTTATTATTCTTGACTGACCACTAGTTTGATAACACTGAAATGAACTGCAAGGTAACTGTTAAGATGGAGTAATAAGAACTCAATGGACTAATGGAAAGGCTTTAATATTTGATATTAATATAATTTCACTTCTGTAGCATTGTGCTATGGCCAATACCGCTTTTAAAAGTTCTTAAAGAAATGTAAAACTGCTCTCAATTCTTGCATTAAAAATCCAAAGGGAATTATGTACAAAAACTGTGTCCATACAACGTTATGATAGTTTTGAAATGCAAAGCCAGGAATTTCACAATGCATTAACTCTACCTCCTATATAATAAAAAGTCACATTACATCATATAACATTGCATAATCAGGTATTAATTGGCAGAGAATGTCATGTAAACTTTTTTTTTTTCAACTAGAATAAGAAAACAAGTAGACAGGAAATTATTTTCTTATTTTATGGAAATGTTCTATTTAAAAAAACGTTTCTCAAAAGAACAAAACCAGGAAGCTTTCAGTAAACAAGGCCCCAGTACAGAAGCATCACAGACATACAAAATGCTTCCAACCTTCACCTGACAGAAGAGACACCTGTAAAGGCTGTTTTACCTTTCTCCAACCAAGGACCTCAACCTCAGTAGGGTGCTTTAACATACAGAACTATTTGCTATTACAGACCGAGCCTCTCGATTTCTTTGGTGGAGTCCCCTTTCTCTGTATAAATGAAAAAAAGTTCACTGAAGCAAGGACCCAAGTCTCACCTTAGTTGAATGGTTTAACAAGGGGACTACTAGTAAAGTGTCTTTCTCTTTTTCGTGCTTGTTTTGAGGAAGTGTCACCATCCTGACTAATGTCTATTGTAAACTGAATTCCCACAATACTTAGTAATTTCTAACAACTCGTATGTTTCAAAGAGAGAACAACTATATGAAATTTTGGACTAGCTGTTGATGCAAATATTTATCAATATGTATTAATACTTGTGATCACATGGAAGTTTTAATACTGCACTACAGAGATATTTATAGAAGGTCAGCTCTAAGCTCTTAATTATATTTTATTTGTGCTGCTTCTACAACCTTGATGCATGTTTGCAGTCTTGAGATTTTCTTATATGACCATATACGGTACGTGTAAGAAGGAGAGTTGTACCTGAAGTAACTTCTGAAGTAAAATTTAGCTGCTTTTGCACATCGAATTCCAAGCCTTAATGTTGCACTAATGTAGTTTTTGGCATACAATAAAAAATGACTTACCAGGTAAAAAGAGCTCTCTGAAGCTGGCATCCATTAATCTTTCAAAATCTTGAGTAAGATTATCCTCTATTGCATAACACTGGAAGCTGTGAGGAAAGTTCAAGAATTTTCCTCAGTCTTCAACAGGTGTTTCTTGAAGGATGTTTATGCTATCTTTTTGAAGCCTTATGTTCTTTTCTGACTTTCTAGGTTTGGGGTTTTTTGGTTTTAATTTTGATGTAAGAAAACAAACATGGATCCAGAAAGGAGAACTCTTCAGTGAACTCCAATTACAGGACAGTCAATTTTGTTTTGTCAAAAGCTACTTTAAAGATAGCCTAATGATTAGGTGATTAAAATACTAGAAATGTGCCTTCATGAAATGCACTAACATTACGAAAAAAATCCATAAATCTTATTTTGAAGAAAAAAACCAGCAACTGGCAAACAGTCTAAATTTAGAAGTGACAGAACCTACAGTTTTGGATGCATTAGCAAAGGGGGACTTAGTTAAGAAAAGACCTTTTATCTTCATCCCGTCCTCTGACAATAGGTGTGGCAACCCCCCCAAATTTTGGTACAACTACTAGCCATTACTTCATTTTCAATTTTTTTGCCAATAATAATAATTTTAAATTACGCTCATGAACAAACTAAGCCTAATGGCAAAACTATTATGTACCTGGAGTATTCAAGGGCACAAATAATTCAAGTAAATTTGTGGAAATAAATCCATTCCTGAATTTCCTTATTAACAAAATGTCTAGAGGTAAACTAGAATGGATTGGTAGGTGGCATCAAGTAGGTAGAGTGTTTTCTATTAAATCAGTGAATTTGGAATTTTTCCTTCCACGTTTTGTAGACATTGGATCTACCTCAACTTAGCTGAGCCTTACTCTGTCTTAGCTGAAGCTGAGTGTCTCTCTGTGTTTTTATTTTCTGTGCCTCTGAGAAGGAAGTTAATACTCACTCGAGGTATCTTGTTGGGCTGCACTAGTTTTTTTTGTTTGTTGTTTTTACCATGGATATCATGGTCATATTTTCATAGTGACTATCATTACTTGTATAACACTACAATTTCCAGATGAAACACACTACAGTGTTGCACACTTGGGAGACTCTTGATCTGAGCCATGGCTTGGACAAAGTACTACAGACGACCAGATTTCTACAAGAGACAAAATTTCCCATTCCAGGCATTATAAAACACATGCACATCAAATTGCGTAAGGTGACAACAGATAGAACCAATATGACAGCATAAGCTGCTCAATCTTTTACTGGAGGGGAGGGCAGGACAAAAGGAAGGAGGAGGGGAGAGACCTTTCAGCTTGTTCAAGTTTCTAAATCAGCCACCATACAGCTGCACAATTGTCACTGCTAGTACAAGGAACAGAAGTGAACCAATTAGCTGGGGGAAACACACTGAAGGATATTAATAGGTGCTATATTAATTAATATTGCAACAGCTCCAATTCACAACAATATAAGCTAACTTTATGCATATTTTTAATTTAGATAGTCAATTGCAAGATTTTTGCCAACCGATCACTAAGGATGAAACATCATACAACCACAGCTTTTCATCATAAACATTTCACAGCACTCCTTAAGAACTCTGAATAGCAAAAAAAAATTCTACCTAAAGAATAAGCTGTTTATAATTCTGAAGCTTTCATGTTTCCCAGTGGATTTTGCAAACATTTAGCCCTAAGAGCTACACAGACAGCATATATCAGCTTGTTTTTTAAATACTAATTTCATCAACTATATAGCATAGAGCTACTACCTTGACCAACCAACAACTTACTTCTGTCACCGTGAAATTTCCGACATGTTTTTACAGCAACAAAAACATCTTCCTTTTTCACTGGCTCTCCCTATATGAAGAGAACAAAAGTTAACTTTTTAATTGCAGGCTCTGCCTGTAACATTTTATAGGATATGTATATCCATACATAAAATAAAACAGAAAATACCTTTTCATTGTATAGCATATCAAGTAGAATAGTGTACCAGTAATACACCAGAAAGTACATTTTTGTCTCTTGAAAAAAGGTCACTAGTGGTTTAAAATTCCTGAAATAACATTACTGAAATACTTTTTACATTGATGTAGTATTCTAACGTAAACTAAAACACCTATCATTAGGGAAAGAGAATGAGTAGTAGAACTCGTTGAACTAAGAATGATTCATCTGAAAAAGAATATTTTCTTAATTTCTTTGAAATTAATCACTGTGAGAACATGTTGAACTGTATCATACTTGGAAAAAGAAGCTTAAATGCTACACACTAGAAATCTTTGAATTTCCTCAACTGTAATAAAATCATTTAACCACTTTTATTTGTTTTCCTTTTTAGCACCTAGAATTTTGCTCTCCTGGAAGCATGGAACACTTTTTGGCCTCTAGCAACACTTAACCCATAATATCATAAATGTATTCTCCTAGAAGTGGAAGACATGGGTTTTACTTTAATGCTCCAAATACTATATTACATTTTATCTTTAGCCTCAACAAGTTTTAGATTCCCATGTGTAAAAAAAGATTATCTATACTTCAGTATCTCACAGAAATGTAAGGAGAAATACTGTACAGAGCATGTGCTGACAAAACTTTGTGGTAGAAAGACCCATTAAAGCATACACAATATTTGTTTGCCAGGAAATGCCCTGTGCCACGGAAGGCTGAAAGCTTATCCAAAAATAGACAAATGCCAGAACAAACCTTTTTTTTTTAACTTATTGAAAAATATTTTCTTAAGGTTTGAGATTTTTAAAGTAAAATACTATGCATTTTAGTAAGAGTTTTACCTTTACTAAGCAAAGGTATTTAAAATACGGTACTTACACAAAGTGGCAGAAAATTACTGAATGTTGTTGCACAATGATCAACCTTATACGAGTTCACATCATCTGTGCAGAACTCAGGCACTGGAGTAAGATGTGGCCCTTCCCCCTTCTGCCAAATATACAGGGCAATCTATCAAAATAGAAAACATTTATATCAGTAATGAAACTGGATAAAAATTCTCAGAGCATACAAAGAAATCATATTACAGGGCAAACTTAACAGGAAAACTAAAAAATACGGGATGCTGTAGAAGATTTGTCCCTTAGTTGATAAACTAGCTGCATACCTTACTTCTTGCTTATGTTTCTAGAGCCAACATGTAATTTTTTCGCCATAAAAGAAATTCTATAGACAGACAAGTTTTAATATGTGTTTCATAGAATTACAATTAGTTTCATATATTTAAGCGTGTCAAAACAACTAATCTTTAACTTTTATATGAAGTGGTAGAGTGAATATTTACACTTTCTTTTAAAGTAAACAAAGATCCTTATTGTGTTGCTCTTTTAAAATTATTTTGATAATTTGGAATAGCTAGGCCTATTTCATCCTATGTGGCAATTTTCAGCTTTTCAAAATAGACCCATTCTCTGGTGACAATTTAAAAAGCTCAAAATCAGTAATGAATCTCTGAGAAGCTGTAAAATACAATGAAGGATAATGTAATAGATATGCTATCCTATAGTAGACTCTTGCCCATTTTAAATGCAACAACAAAACATAAAAAAATGTTCAGAAACTCGTAAGAACAAAATGAAGTTCTTAAAAATCTATAAGGCAGAAAATAATATCTCAGTAAGTATGTGGATTCAGAGCTTCCCAGCTGCCTTGCCATACACTCTTGATTCTGAATGCTTAGTCTCTCTTGAGGATAGGCCAAAGATACGAAAGCATCTTTGCACAAGAGCTGGTTGAGCATATACTCAAGATGTAGGACATCTGGATTCTAGGCTTGCTTCTGCCTAACTCAGAAGTTACAGCTTCTAGTTTTCAAAAGGGTGCCTACACCAACAAACCAGAGATATTCTGGGACAAAGATTCTCCATGCTACCTCATGAAACTGAAATACTCTGCAAAAAGTAAGATTCATGGAACCAACAGGACAGTGTAGTGAAGGGGAGCCTGACTCTGCTGCACAGGGGGAATGGGACTCCTCCAAGACAGGAAAATCAGTCTTGGGTTCTAGTTCCTGTTTCCCGTGTTATTTACACATATTCCCAATGACTCCTGCATGGAAAACAAGTTAAGTGCTTCAATGGAATATGGGACCAGACCCAGAACACACCAAAGGCAATGAAAATGAGTCTCCTTTTCAGTGTTTTATGCTTACTTAGGAACTGTTAGCTTTAAACCCCTCCTAGCCCAGAATTCAGCTCCTCTTTTAGCAAATGTGATCATTAAGCTATTATTAAGAGGACATAATATTTCCTTCTCCCCACTGTTCAGGAAGAACTCGGTGCAAACCAAGAGCGTTAACTACGGTCTGGACAAGCCCAAGTCACCAAACCAGTTACAGACTTATAAGTTATAGATGATTATTTTCCTGCCCATCTCATTTAGGTCTCAACATCCTCAGAAAACCCCAACTATCTGCACACAGCCATTTCTGGAACTTAGAGGGTATAAAACAGAAGTGCCAGTTTGTTACATGCCCTGTTAGGACTGGGGGCAGGCTTGAGAATACAATCGTATTTTTGAAACTTAAGCTTCCAGATTTGAAAGATTATCAATAGGGTACAGTCACATACAATTAACTGATGAGTTTTTAGCAAGTTGCTGACTTTAACTGGGTTGTCATAACTACACATGCGCTCTTAGACCACCTCAACTGCAAAGTAAAAACATTTTGTTTGATTGCACTGAAAAGAGTTTAAATTACTGTTCCTTGTAATTGAGCGGATGCAGACAATTGGGAGCTGTGAGTACAAACATGGTCACTACTACTGCTCAGCTGAGAGTGACTTGCTAAACCACTAACTCAGCTGCAGGTTCTTTCAATGCAGTGAGTTTTGTAGTTTGCAAGGTCTAATTTATTTTAGCCTCACCATTATTAAGTGGTCTGTTTATTTGCTGTTTTAGCAATGCTTCTGAAAACACAGATGATCTTAGCATTACAGATGAGTTCAACAAAGCACTAAAGGGAAAGGCCACTCTATAGGGAAGAAAATTCATAAGCATGAGTGGCAGTTAAGACAAATACTGCTGATAGTGCTTGGAGTAGAGGAGGAGTATGGAAGTGACATGTAACACATATATGCTTGTGGTTAAGAAGCAACCAATAAACACACGTACGTCTCCAAGGTTATCTTTTGTCTTGTCACCACATTCACATTATGGGATGTAAGCGGTTCTTGACCCTGCCTTGTAGCTGGAAGACTACTAACTGCAAGAGATTGGATTTCTAAAGAGCTTTCAGTACATTTTAAGATTGTATTAGTTCAGAATTCAGCTATTCAGAATTAACGTCTATCACATGAACCAACAAAGAAGAAATGCTCCTGCAGCACAAAGAATATTTAACAATTGTAACATAACATGAATTATTTATGAAAGTTCATAATGCGCTAAGATTTCCCAGTGAATAATGGATTCTTCAATAGAAAGCCTTAGAGTGGTGTGAAGTTATCATATTTCAGAAATGAGGTTAGAGTGCCATTTTGGGTTACAGAACAGGATGACAGACTGTTCCTAAAACAATGGAAATGGATTTACAATAAAAAGACAAAAAATAGTCTTAGTCCTAGTTCAAATCTAATGTTAGATATACAAAAAAAATCCATTTTTCACTTCAAGTTTTGAGTATCAGGGAATATGCTATATACTGTGCAGTTACAAAAAGTCTAAAAAACAATCTACAAATGAGCAGCAGCATGATAAAAATCCTCTACTACATTTGCAAGATAGGCCTTCCAGATGGAAAGTTATATAAAAGTTGTGGATATAAGAAATAGGGACTTGGAAAGTAGTAGGGTGAAAAAAACCACCTGATACAGAGCACAATAAAATACCAAAGACTAGAGGCACATGTTATTAGGACTCTGTCAAACTAAAACACTTCTTAAAACGTTTATCATCCTTCATAAATTTAAACTTTACACACAATCATTAAAGATCACAGATTATATCCTTTGATTTGTTGTCAATCTTGATTCACACATGAAGGACGTAGAGATAAAAATGATTTAAGAAGGACAAGATGTTGATTTATAAAATAAATGAGGGGGAATGGAACTGTGTCTAGGGAGACAGGAGACTGTGCAGAAAGAATAACTACAGGGCTGAAGTAGGTTATCATTGACAATAAATTTGAAATGAAACATATGCAAAGAACTGCTAACAGAATAAGAAGTGGATGGAAGTCATTTTGCCAGTCGAGTGATCAATTGTTTTTCATTAAGCAATCTGTGGCACATAAAAGAAATGTCTGCTAATGATTTTTTTTATGACACTACGTTTAGAGGCTTTGTCAGTGCTGAGGTAGACTGGAATATTGGGAAACTATGAATGACTTTGAGGTAACTTACAAAAAGAAGATTTACAGTGTAAAGCTCAAGGTCTTAGATTTAGAAAAATTAACAAGAGGAAAGAAAAACAGCTTGTTGGCTTGTTTCATGTAGCAAAATGAAAGCTGAGAGGGGTCCAATTGCTTTTGAGAAATACATCAGTCAAGGTGAGGAAACTAGGTGAAAGAACAGTGTTGGCACAAAACCAAATTAATTTAAATATGCTACCAATTTATACTCTACAAGTACACTGTAGATTTATGTTGGAAATGAGGAGGTTTATAACCATTACAGAATAAAGATCTAGAACAGCAGCAGTAGTTTTAAATAAGGTGGGGTTTTTTCTGGGCCAGAACCACAATTTATGGCTGACTTTCAGGAGTTTAAAAAAATTAAAATTAATTCAACATCACTCATAATTTCAGGCCAAAAATCAGCAAGTTTATTCCAGATTCACACCCCCTCTCCCCCCCTGCACCCTGGTTCAGGAGTTCACTTTGGTGACAGTACAGACATTTTGAAGGCAGAAAAAATAAAAAAGCTTCAGAAAAAGTAGCACTGATATTCTTTCAGAACCCCCCACACCTTTCTTCTCATGTTCCTTTCAGTCAACTCACTTATTCTCTGAAAGACCTAGTGGCTACCTTTTAAAACTGTTGCAAACCAGAGGCAAAAAAAAATTTCCAGACTTCCATGCTGCAAGTTGCAGAGTTGATTGGTCACACAACAGTTAGGTTCCTCAGACTATTTAATCCAAACTCCATCATATTTAGCTCTTAGAGTCTGATTTAGAAAGTGAGTGAGGCTGGCTAGTGTCTGAGATACTGCTCATGTCAGCTCAGGCTTCATGAATTAGAAGTCTCTCTCTCCTTTATAGAGCAAGCCCTAGAAGATAACTTACTGTATACAACCATGTACATATTCCTATATGAATACAATTTTATTCATGAATTCTTCTATACTTGAAATATAGATTTAAAGTATTACAATATTCAAAAGGAAGGGAAAGAAATTAAACATGCCGTTGCATTGCAAACTTTTTAGCAATGTCTAAGAAAAATCTGTTTTTTCCATTATCATTTATCACCATTCAAATATATAGATTTCAGACATTTTTTTCTTTCATCACATCACTGCTTACCTCATGCTTTAAATCTATTGTAAAGTCTGACTTGAGTGGTTCACTTTTCAACTTCTTTGCAAGCCTATACAATTAAAGATGAAGAAATTTACTCAAAAAAAAAAAGAAAAAAATCAATCACTAGTGTATGCAGCAAAGTGTGGCTGATATTATTGACCGTCTTACGGGGGTTTGGGGGGCAGGGCAGAATCACACTTCTGTATTTATTGCTCCAAGAAGAAACTTCTATTTCTTTTTCATATTTTTTTTCATTGGAGTACAGTGTGATGATATTAATACTACTTTTTCAGCACACATATTTTGATACATTCTTCCTGCCCAAGAAGAAAGTTCTCATCTGGAGTAGATGGAGAGTCTGGCATAACATTTTCAACAGATTAAAAGCAGCAGTGCATTTGAAGCTCAATATTGATCAGCATCTGAAACTTCAGACAATATTCTCTTTTTGTGTAATCCTAAGCACAGTATTTAGGCATGTTCAATTTATGAAAATATCAATCCTTGCTACAGCAAGATGCATTCAACTTCTGAAATCTATGAACTTTTCATATCTCATTTAAAAACTAAGCATCTAATCTGAAGTAAATATCTAGGTTGTCTCTATAGCACAAGAAACACTTCTAGAAGGCAATGCAGTCACTAAGATCCAGGAATAAAACTGCTGTCTGGGGGAGAATACATTTTTAAAATGACAAGAGATGGTATTGAACTAGTTGAATGACTAGTACTGGACAACTATTAACTATCTGACGATTTTAACTTTTAGATAGGCAGAGTGAAGCAAAATAAATCACATGCACAGCAATGATACAGAAATCTATTTCTGTAGCCTCGTCTACTAATAAATTCTTAAGTGTTTGTTTATAATAATTATGCTTGGAACATGTAGAATAAGGAAGAAATGGAATTTTATCAAAGGAGTATTTACTGAGTAAGTTTATAGTGAGAGTACAAGTCCATGTAGGCATACCCAGAGCTAGCTGTACATTACTGTGCCTGGTTGAATGTCTTGCTACACACCTTAGATCCTCAAACTAAAGTAGACTTACATGTACCAGTATGGATGCTAATAATATAGGTGGCAGCAGGAACACCTTCATCTTTTACAGAAAATAGTAATCCATATGAAATCATAACTCATTAAAATAATATTGATTAGCATCTAGAAAAATTGTATAAATTAAACATTCTTAATTACTATCATTAAACAAGAAGTGATTAAAAAAATCAATTCTTACTTGTTAACAAGTGGAATGCTAAGTGCCCAACCAGCAGCAAAATCTGGAAATGTAAAGGCTGTAGGATTTTCAGCAAAGGCATAATGGTGAATTATTGTAGATTCTTCATCATATAATGCTTTACCTAAAAACCACTCCTGTAAAGGAATATAGGAAACAATTTTGTTCATCTACAGCATCCTTTTAGTGAAGATGATGACTGCATTCATGCTGAATAAAGCAAACCTGAAAACAAAAACAAGGGAAGCGTATTGTTTACAATAATCCGGACAAAATTTGTACTTGATAAGAAATGAAACTAAAGGCACTTCTCGGAATTCAAATACACACTGTATTGTCAGCATACGCCCTGAATTCCACCTGTTGAAAAAGCACTGAATCCCGGAATCATAGAAGTGCTGAGGTTGGAAGGAGCCTCTTGAGATCATCTAGTCCAATCCCCCTGCTCAAGCAAGGTCAGCCAGAGCAGGGTGCCCAGGACTCTGTCCAGTCATGTTTTGAATACACTCCACAACCTCTCTGGACAACCTGCTCCAGTGTTTGGCCGCCCAAACTGACTACTGACTAGACAAGACACTCAAAAGCACTGCATTCAGGAACCTTATATATATCTGCATTTTGAATTTCCATCTGTCTAGCCTCTTTTACGCTAGGGAACTAAAAAGCAAACATTTTAAATACTTTGATCTTCAAAACAGTTAAATGAAGAAGGTCCCAAGTATGCATTTGTAAAGTAAAAACTTAAGTATTATTATTATTATTAGAGTTTTAAATAACAGTGTTTAAGAATTTACTACTGACTCTGCTGTATCTGAAAATAATTAACAGACTTAAATACTACTTCTTTAACATTACTATCAGTTGTCTTAATCTTTCTGTTTAGAACAGGTATAAAACAAGTATACTCCCAATTTTTGCAGAATAAGGACTGTAATGAAGGGAAAAAAGAATATATGTATATACATATAATTTTAAAAATATATACATATAAATTGCTTTTCAGACCTACAAGTACAAATGACAAATCAGAATTCTGAATTACCTTAATACTTATATTAAATCTTTAAAGTGTGAAGTTCTTTGTGTTATGACAGTAACTCAGGCTTTTCTTTTTCCTGACAATTTATCAATCCCTGACAATTCACCACTCAAATAGATTCAAAGTTAGGGCAACTGCTTTTTCACAAAAGATTCTTTCTCCAAACTCCCTGCCGTATTTGATTTTTCCCCTCCTTTAAAGGGGCAGCACATCAGCAACAATGAAAAATTCCTTCAAGGCGTTATCACAGTTCACACGCTTCACATGTGATAAATAATTTACACAAAATTCAAGACAAAAGGGAAAATATTCAAGCAGAAGTACTGTAGAAACATCTGGCAAAAAAAAAAAAGTCTAACCTCAAGAGGCTCTTGCATCTCAGTAGTCATCTAACTCCAAGCAGATGTTGCTATATAGACTGAGATAAATTTTATAGCTCCCCAGAGTCGATGAGAAGCGATGAGTGAGATTTGGCCAGGGCATGACAGGGTCAGCAAACAGCAGAAGAGAGGTCCGCATGCACCAGGAGACACCTCCAGCCAAAACCAGCTGGCTGAGACTGGCAGAGGGTATGCAAGTGTGGCTGCCCCAGAAGACATTCAGCCTGGCAATCCCACGGGAATCCAGCCAGGACTCAACCTGGCTCCCCAAAAGGCAATAAAAGGGCAGCCCTCAGGAGCTACCAGGGATGCTTGTCTTGCCGCACACATCGAGTCAAAGATACAGGATGCCACCTGTGCCAGGAACACCGACTCTCCGAGGGACTGATGCAGGTTTAACATGGTATGCATGTGTCTGTATACATGTGTAAGGTGCTGAGTGCATTTCCCATGAATTCTGTACATTTCTCCCCTCTACTTTGGCCACCTACTCTCAATAAAAGTAAGTTGAATATAACTTGTACTTGACTAGTGACTTCTTCAGATAACACAAATGCTGAAAACTTGTTTGTTCCCATAATCCCCACGTGCCTCCTGAGGCTGAAGGGTAGGTGTTCAGGAATCTGTTGAGGAAACAGCCAAAGTTAAACTGACACTACCCAACATACGGAGAAGATAAGGGTGGAGATTTTTTCCCACCGTTTTTTTTAATCACCTTCATAGGACTTACTACCTGGTACCTACTTACTCAGCCTTTGATTTATACCTTCAATCACAAAAGACCCTGCTTTCTCCTTCCTTTATTGGAAGGATTCAATAGTGTTCACTGGAAGGATAAAAAAATCAAACAAAATATTGGGAGGTAAAAGAAAATGGGCAAACATACTAATTTTTATGCACAAAGATGATTGCCTTGAAAGAATAAAAATAATTCTTTAGAAGCATTTATGCACACCGTTTTTTAACTCTTTTAGGGCCTCCAGGGCTTCAAAATGTTCATAACACAAGCACACTATTCTGTTTCAGAAATAGTTAATAAATAGTAACATTTTAATACAACAGTACCATCTGCAGACAATTTTTTTCTGGACCTCCACTTTGTTATGCTACAGAGTGGAAAAACCACTTTACTTAGCATGCAAAATTAGAATAATTTTACACCAAAACAATCTATGGATTAAAAAAAACAATCTTCCTTTCCCTTCCCTATAAAACATAGAAAATTAAACCCATACATATACCCTCCTCAGGCTTTCACATAATAATATTTCTGGCAATATTAAGCCACAAACCACAGTGAAGGCATTCCGGGTTACAGCCAATACTCTCCAAGTTTATTTGGTCATACACTGATACGTAGGGCAAATCAATCTGTGCAGGCTGGCTTTACAAGATTAAATTAGTTATATACAAAGGAACTTATAAAGTAACTTAAGGAATGATGGTAATCAAATTGCATATAGGCAAAAATGTGGATTTTAAAAAAAAGTGTGATTCATTGCATTAAGGGTAACTACCATCCACCGGATCATTGTGCTTCAAAAATTGCAAAATCACCTACCTTTAGTAAGAGCACTCCAAAGTCTTTAGAGCACTTTAAAGAGCTGAAGGAATGTGATACAACAAAACTCAATACCAGATCTCAGGGACGGCAGAGGTGACTTTACCTAACTTGCTGATCAAGTTGATTCTACCGACTCACATTCGTATCCACTTACAAATACCAAGATAAGTGTGCTGAATTCATCTGTTCAAGACTTGTGTCTGACACGCAGGACAGGAGATTTCAGCTGTCACATCCTCACTGTGTCTTACTACATCTTATGAGTTCTTATGATTCTCAAAATCAAACTGTTGTTCAGTCAGATCTTTTATACACTTTAGGCATCAACAGCTACTAAGTCATTGCTGCGCATCAGCTTGGTTTACTCATTCTGGATATCTTTGGGGCTGTAGTCTACCATCCTGTTAGGATGACAGTAAGAGGAGTGGCACGTACAATTTGGTTTAACCTTGCTGCTGTCTTCCATTATGAAAGCACAGGTTGAATCAATATGCTGTTGAAACACAGAATCACAGAGGGGTTGAGGTTGGAAGGGACCTCTGGGGATCATCTGGTCTAACTTCCCCTGCTCAAGCAGGGCCACCTATACAGCAGGTTGCCCAGGACCATGTCCAGATGGTTTGTGAGTTACCTCCAAGGACGGAGACTCCACAACCTCTTCAGGCAAGCTGTGGCAATGCTTAGTCACCCTCACAGTAAAAAAGTGTTTCCTGATGTTCAGATATAATTCACCATCTGAGTACTTGTCTTGAGGTCTTTATATAAATCAGATATTCCTCACTGTTATTTAGTTCTACTGCAGTCAATAACGTCCTTCGTTATCAATGCAGGTCATTCTCTTAACATTCCTCCACAGACTCTTATGATGTTTCACATATCTGGTTTCACTCAATATTACATTCATATCAGTCTCAATAGTTCTGTTACTAATCTCTAGATATCCAGATTCAAAAGCTGCAGATTCATCAACTATTCACATGCCCCTTGTAGACCTTTTATTGTGATTAATGTATACCAGCTTTTTATTATGCAGACTGCTGACATTTTAAAATGAATAATGAATGAGCTCATTCTGGTCTAACTCATCTTAAATTTTGTGACTGATGCACTACTACTGTATATAAGGAATCAGTTATGGATTGTTACACTAAGATGACGATTGCTAGGTACAAAAGCAAAACATTTGATTTTTCTTTTAATGCAGGTTGGAACATAATTTGTTATTGTAATAGAATTTTCATGTAATGCAAAGGAGATTAAAACTGGCGTAAAGGCAGCATCTAGAACAAAAATTTTTATGTTTCTATTCTGAGAATATCAATTAGGAATAGGTTGTTTCTGAAACAGAAATAAGCGGATATTCCAAAGGCTTGACTATATTCAGTCAGACATTTTGAAAACAGAGTGTTTAAAAATGTAAGATCTCTGAATTATTATTATTATTATTACCGTTTTAGAAAAGAATTGTGAAAAAACATGAAAAGGCCATGTGCCTGCAAAAGAAGTAAACATGCTGAAGTGAGACCTGAAGCAGAGTTCAATACCCAGTCAAGGTAACAATAAAGAAGCAAAACATATTTCGCATAGGAGACTTTGGCTTCTTTTATTCCAGGCAAAGGACAGAGATCAAGCTGAATTTTTTTCCTGAACACTGAGAATTCTAAAGATTAACACCTTTCGTGTCAGTTGCATTGCCAAATTTACTTTGTTCCTTGGTGACTGCATTTTTCTTTTGTTCTGCAAGTCTTTTGGCGTTGTTTCTTTTCCAGCGGATAAAGAAAACTGTCTTATCACCAAGACAGTTCAGAAACAGAACGCAAATAAAATACCCTACTATATTAGATCAGAGACAGTTAGTCAAACTAACATCAGCCATTTTGTCTGATGAAAATCAGAACTGATGACAGACAGGAAAATGGGGAGAGAGGACCACACAGCAGACTATATTAATTTTTTACTGATGCTACATCATTTTCAGGCTATCCACAGAAGGAATCTTTTCTCTGCTCAATTTTAACAGTTCTTCAACAGCTAGACAGGTGCTGATGCTGCTTCATGTTAAATACCTTGCTCACTCTCAGCCTCAGCAACAGAAATCTATCCTCCTATTTTAAGCTGTTTGGATACCTCTTTTCCAATGTTTGGAGCATTGAGCCATCCAGGAAATCTTATAAAATTAAATTCTGGACCACAGAAATTGTTCTGTAACTAGGAATTCTAAAATTCTGTATTTATAATTTTGTACTTAAAATTATTCCACGAGTTTCAAGCACATTCAAAAGTAACTTAAATATCTAAATTTTTATTTCACCTTAGACCCGTCAAATCTTCCAAGTGTTTCTAGCAGCTTTACAACTTGTATTCTTGTATCTTCTTCACAGAAGAAAATCCATGAGGAGTTCCTACCATAGGTAACAGAGAAGCTAACAAAAGAAATTAACATTTTTCTAATAAACTGGCTTATAAACAGAATGATATTCAACCCACATTCCCCAAATGTAAGTACTTTGCAATCAATTATTCATTTACACAGAAACTTTTACTACTAACTTAGAATTACGTATCAAAGAACTAAAGTGAATGGATAAAGATACTGCCTCTGCTGCTATCTACTTATATAGCACCAGTTATTCCAGAAAGAAGGGAATAGAGATATATGAAAATGTCCACCCAGAAATGTATAGTTACCCCAGGTCTAATAGCCACCTGTGAATTCAGAAGTTTATAGATAGCAGTTTAAGTTACCTTCCCCTCTGTACCTTAACTTTCTTCCAAGAAGCCCCACTGCTGGGCATCTAACACCATTGCAACAATCATGAAAATGTCTAATGACAGGTTTTCTCACAGCTATTTGATGGTGATCATCCCCAACCTAAAAACTTCATTAGCTTTTTCAGTACAGTGAAACTACACAGATTGAATGGACTCCCCTACCTTCCTGAAAGCTAACACTAAACTCAATGCAGCGTTCCTGATTCCTTCAGAAAATTCTCATTCTTTATTTCTCTACTCCTCCCAGAAAAATTCTTCCACTACTTAACAAAACAAAGCCTTATTAATTCATGACATCCTAATGGAAAAAAACCCCAATCTTTACTTGTCCAGTTTCCTTTGCATAGCTTTTACACTGATTTAATTAAACAAATCATCTGAGGATAGGTATAAGAAAATTAGCACCTATAAAAATCACAGATTTATTCCTCTACAGCATTCTCTACTGATAAAATCAGCAATGAAAATAAACAGCAGAAATGTAAGTCAGAAAAAATAAGTAAAAAAGGATGGTAGGATCATTTATGTTTTAGGGAACGGTATTTGCAAAAAAAAGACCCCCAAAACAAAAAAACCACAACAAACCCCCAAAAACAAACCCACTATCTGAGAAATCCTTATGCTAGAACATGTGATACCTGCCTCTGCAGGTCTTTTAATTATGTGGTAGAAGCACCAGATGGTTGCCAGGTGCTAAACTAGTTCAGTCTTTTTTCATCTGGGACAAATCATTGTGCTGGTTTGGGCGAGGATACAGTTAATTTTCTTCATGGGAGCTGGTACTGGGCTATGTTTTGGATTTGTGCTGGAAACAGTGTTGATAACACAGGGATGTTTTTGTTACTGAGCAGGGCTTACACAGAGCCAAGGGCTTTTCTGCTTCTCCCCCCACCCCACCAGCGAGCAGGCTGGGGGGGGCACAAGAAGTTGCAGGGGTACACAGCTGGGAGAGCTGACCCCAACTGACCCAAGGGATATTCCAGACCATATGATGTCATGCTCAGCATATAATGCTGGGGGAAGAAGAAGGAAGGGGGGATGCTCAGAGTGATGTCATTTGTCTTCCCAAGTCACCGTTAGGCGTGATGGAGCCCTGCTGTCCTGGAGATGGCCAAACACCTGCCTGCCGACGGGAAGCGGTGAATGAATTCCTTTTTTCACTTTGCTTGCGTGTGCGGCTTTTGCTTTACCTATTAAACTGTCTTTATCTCAACCCACGAGTTTTCTCACTTGTACCCTCCTGATTCTCTCCCCCATCCCACTGCGGGGGAGTGAGCGAGCGGCTGTGTGGGACTTAGCTGCCAGCTGGGGTTAAACCATGACAGTCATCTTCCTATAAAGCTGCCTTTCCTCTCCGTCTTGCAATGGTATTTGATTATTCACTGCTTTCTGCTTATGATACTTATTCTGCTAAACTATAATAGCCAGAAGAACTCACAATCCATTCATCCTTTTAGTTCATAAAAGCATATACTTGTTGCCTACTCAACACTGAAATCTGGGCAACCCTTTGCCATTCAGGCAAGCAAACAAGATACAATGAGCTAGGAAAGACACTTCCTAGCTGTTCCTTCTAAAACTTGCCAAACAAGTACGAAAAGGGTATCAGATACCCTCATGTTTTTAAACATGTACAGTATTCAATGACCTGCGAAGACTGAAGGCTTTTCTCTCACACTTTAGTGCTCAGCTAGAACTTTAGGAGAGAAATACCTGGATTTACAGGAAAGCAGGTAGGTGAAGGGCAGGGAGAAAACGCTAGAAAGACCCCCACAAAAAGAATTACTGCATCTTGTGAATAGAGCACGTACAAGTTCACAAAAAGAATGATCTGTTCATCTAGCTATTGATGGACAAACAGAATGATTTTCAAGGCTAAGTATTTAAAGCCTGCAGAGAGTCTTACGTAGACCTCATAGCACACAAATTTGGAGTTCAGATTGCCAGGAGCCATTGGAGATACTCAGGTAAGATCCAGTTTTGGGGTAGTAATTTAAAAAAGGGATTTCTTCTCTACTTAATGAACATGGTTACTGAGAAGAAATGTAGTGGGCCTTCTGGAGACAGTAAGGGCACTGTGTCATAAGACATCCATTGATGTCTCACGATTACATCTTCTGAAATGAAGTATTTTGTCCAAGTTAAGCTGTGCTCAAGAACTAAAAATAAAGAATTGTCGTAACTGTTTAGAAGCCTCCTTAAAAATGCTGACAACTGAGGAAAGCCATTCTTTTCAAAGCAGTTTTCAGGTAAGAATAAATCTTATATCACAATTTCGAGCATCATCAGCTGCTGCAGAATGGGCTGATCTCCCTTCCTCCCCTTCTGTCCATTGAGAAAACTAAACAGCACAAGCCTCCCAACATCGACATACTTCTAAACTATTCCATGTCTTCATTCTGCCAAAAGTGGTGAAACAGTAGACACAAGGAAATTCATATTCTAGAATTCTCAAGATAGAAATCCTCTACTTAAGATTCTTCTTCTGATTTCTGAAGAGTTTTCTTCTGCTTTGTCACAAAAATGAGCATTTGTGGTTTTGCTATCTCGTAAGAGCTGTATCTGTAAACCCTGTCACCGAGACATAAATAATTCAGAAGAGGAACCATTAGGTCATTGAAACAGGAGCTAAGAAGCAAAACCAAAGATGATCGATAGTTGGAACATCATCTTTGAGTTTTTCAATTTACTTTGATTCTCCTTTTGCTTCTTTTTACAGTTTACATGTATCTCAAAGATAGCTACTATACAAGCACTACTTTCATGTTTCTACACGCACAGAAAGCAATGGAAAGCAGAAGGAAAAGCAACCTGTCCTGCAACCACTCTGATGCAAAAACCTCAAACCAAACCAAAAACATCCTTCTGAGTAACTCTAATAAATTATATTAACTAAATTAAACCTCAAGAGGCTGCAGAGCCTCTGGCACCAATTTCAAGTGCAAGTTTTAGGGAAAGGACAGCCTTCAGCACCATGGAGCTTTAGGACTTTCTGAAACAAGAATCACTGTTTCCTGACAGTTTGCAACATACTACCATGTAAATGCAGTATGTCTTCCTTGGAGCCATCTGCATAAGCTAAGAAGAAAAGGTATTTCAGATTTCTCTGACCATACTAAGATGAAAAGTGGCCATATAAGCTTCTAAAAAGATGTTGAAACCTACACCTTTTTACTATAGAGGCATACCACCTCTTAGAAACACTGTAAGCAATAAAAGATAGAAACCCCAAACAGGTATTATTATCTATTTTTTAAAAATTATTTATCTACTTCATTCAGCCAAGTAATCTGAAAGGTCAAAAGTTCTGAAATACCTCACAACTTACACTGTGAGAACTGGGGACCAAATAGGAAAATACACATTTAAAAATGGTATTTCTTTTGACTGGTTTACTTCCCTAACAATTTAAAAACCCACAATGATTTGAAAAAGGTAGTTGTTCAGCTACATTGTACTATTGTTGTTCTTTTATTTAAAATAGCTTTCCCTGATTTAATGAAATTTAACAGAAAATTGCTTTGGAAAACCAAAAAGAAGTAGAGTAAGAAAGTGAAAAGATAAGGTTGCAACTCTCATTCAAAAACTTTGCTTCTGAAAAAAGAGGTCTGAGTAATTAATATTTATATTCTTGGTTACAATAAATTCTGAAAATAACTGGCATTCATTACACTTACTCTCTCATTAACGGTAATATTGTCCATGCACCTTCATGCCCGTCCATCTGATGAATAAGCAGAACCGTAGGTAATTCCTTTAAGAAAAACAAAAATATTCCCATTAAGCTTGAATTATATGCACTTTTTTTCCTAAACACCAACTAATCTTTAAAAAATTACACTGGAATGACTACTTAGTTCTTCATTGTTTTTTACCAGCAAGTAGCCCTGCAGAATAGATGACTTAGGATGGTATGAAACAAGGTGATCTGCAATTTAGGGAAAGTACTTCTTCCAACACATGACTTCTTAATTCCCTATTAGATATAAAGCTAACACACTTCAAGTTAAATGATATATCATACTCATTTCTCTACCATATCATAAAATCCCATACTATAAAGGAAGACTCATAAATAATGTAGAGTATTCTACAAAGGCTTCCACTGGGTAATCAAACATGTCACACAAAGCTTATGTGAGCTTTCTAACACTTTACTTTGCTGAGTTCAGCTTTGACCTATCACACTAGCATAACAACAAAAACCCATGGGTTTATGCAAAAATCAAAATGAGGAGTTAGGGGTTTTTTTTTCCTGAAAAATCAAAGCAGCTTCCTACAAAGGAAAATCTTTTCATAAGTTTCTTTGCTCTTTTGTCACTTGAAATCTCTTTGATGTGGCAGATCCCGATGTCTAGCAGACAAGCTATCATTCTGGGGTAGTTTCCAACACCCTTTAAACATTGCCCTCTGATATACCAAAGTGCATAATTTATTCATTAGTTCACACATGTAAAAAGTGGGAGAGAGATATATATACCTTAATACATAGGCAGTATCTTCCTCCATTGATTTACTACATTTACAAGCACAATTCTCTTTTGCAGCATCATTAGGGTCTCAACCACCTCACAAACGTCTAAATCCTTTGGGTTAGGTAATTGTACTAGTACTGAAACAAAAATCTTCCTGCCAGAAGAGCCTAACCTCCCAGTTTAAACTTCCTCACCGTCTAAGTACATCCCATTACAGCAATTAACCTAACAAAGCACTGGTGGTGTTAATGCACTTTAAGACAAATGACTTAATACTAGCAGGTAAATGATCCCACCTTTCCATTATACAAACTGTTAAGTTATGTGATTAAAAGCTCATCACCATAACCACAAAGCAGCACAGAGGAACAGAAACAGGGTAGGAACCCCAAAAATGTAATTGGAGAAAACTGAGCACCCTGACCCAGCTCCCCCCAGGGCTGTCCCAGGGGAGCCTTCAGCCTGTCCAGGTGTTGACACTCACCAGCTAAAGAGAAGGGAAAGGCTCCCTGCTCACCTTACACTCTCACAGGGGGTTACTGCCTACAGGGGCATGGGACTCATTAAGGGATTCAGGGCAGGAGCAGTTTGGGATGGGACAAAACTTGTTGTGAGATGCTTAGGAAAAACAAAAGGCCAGGCAAAGATGGAGCAGGGTGGTTTGAGGAGGAATAACCATTGGTAAACACAGGGGGAAAAAAAGGGGTTGGTCACTTGAAACAGATTGCTGGTCAGGAGGCTTGTCTGTCCATGCCCTGCACTGATCACTGCAGTCTCTCCTGTCTTCTCCTTAAATTCCATTTCTAACTCCTGGGCGGGAGGCTCTGTGTGTATTTGGAGGTCTGAGCGCCTGCAACTGGAGAAGGGACTGTGAGTCATAGGGATGCACGTGTCCGTGCTGCCAGAAACTGGGAAGAGTGAGTGCATGCACGTGTGGGTGTGTGTTTCAGTGTGTGTAATTGCTCATGAGCATCAATCTGGACTAGAAGAGGCTTGGGAGCCAGGTATCAGAGCAGCCAAAAGTCTGCGGCAGACACTGGGGGGACCAAGGGGCCTAACAGTTGGTTACTGGAGGCAACAGGAGGTCCCAGCTACAGGAGGGCCTCTGGGGTGCAAGGGTCAGCTACTGGTGGGGTTATAAGTCTCCACCAGGTAACCAGAAAGATCCATTTCTACGTGTGTGTCTGTGCATGAGGCAACAGGGAGGGCAGGGGTCAACTACTGGATATACTGAGTGTCTACAGCTACTGGGAGGACCCATAGTGCATGCACGTGTGCATGTGGGTGTGCAGGAGCAGGGCTGAGCACCAGCAACTGGAACGGGGCTGCAAGCCACACAGCAAGCCTCACATGCCCACGTGCTGGCAACTGCAGAGACCGGGGATGCAAGACCTGTGACTGCACAGACTGAGCGTCAAAGACCAGCTACTGGAGGCATCCATGTTGCATATATATATGTATTTATGTATACATATTCCACAAACAGGCTTTCATCCTGACCAGCCAGAAAGGTGAAACAAGGTCAGGCCATTGGTACACTTTGTGTTTGTGAGAGTGCTGCAGTTTCTGTGTTGATCTACACGGATGATCACGTATATATGAACACGTAGTGTGTGTATGTGTGCACATGTGCCTACTGGAAACACATGCTCAGCCTCGCCTCTGTCAGGCTAGCGGATTCAGCAAGCTCCCAAGACAAACCATCTTAATCTCTCAAGGGCCTAATTCCTTTCCACTGACACTATGCATATGCCAAACATTTTTGTTTGACAAATGCTTCTCAGGAATATAAACCAATTCCGTTAACATAAAATTCACATTTAAACAGAAAAATAACTTATTCTCTAGGAAAAGCTGTAAGATGAAGTTCACACTGCTTGCTGACTCTGTCAAGTTTATTTTAAATCCTTTTTAAGGGCAGTTAAGCATAGCACCTAGAAATACATAAAACCTCCAAACTTCATTCACTAAAGAAAACATCTCTACCACTCTAAAGAATAACTGTGTCTCTCAGAAGTGCATTAATCCTATAAAAAAATAACAATCTACTGTTTTAAAAAACACTTATGCTATTGTGAATGACCCAAATTGAAAAGAAACAATGCCAAAACTCTAATTTGGAACAGGATAATAACGTGCATCTAAAATATCAGCAGTTCTGATTTATGGTTCTAGTTCAAGCCAATCTATCAAATGTGTTCCTGGTTAGTTTCAATTTATTGCAAAACCAAGGAATTCCAGAGGTTTTTAGTGGAAGTGGCAAATATTAGTAACAGTATGCTCAACATCTGGTATTTCACTAAAATGTAACCACTTCATGGTAAAACCATAAAAATATGTTTGCTTGTGGGATTGCAGATAGGAAGATAAAAGGGCAAACCTCTGTCTTTACAAGAGCATTTGTTTTTACAAGGATATAAACCCTGCAGTTATGCTAGTTATTTGTATGTGGCCATGTACTTCATGTACAATAGGAGCCAGACAGAGATAAAAGTAGTTAATATATTCAGTGTCTATATCACAGTAAAGGCTGAAGTTGTATTCATTTTAGATACAAACAACATTTGCCCATGCAAAAGGTATGAAGTAAATTACATCATCTAAGTAGCTGTACCATATACTCAGGTATCTCTTCTTTAACAAAAAAACCCCAACTCTTTCCTTTGTGCAGATCAAAGGAGTGATGATAAAGAAAAAACACTCTTTCTTGAGCTGGTCTAATACTTTTGCAAGGTTATCTTTTCTTTTTGACATTCTCATAAGCCTGCTCCCTTTCTTTACCCAACTTCCTCTAAAACATGAAAATAACATGTCCTGCACATACCTTTCCTTCCACTCTTCTCTAACAATTCATCAATTCCGATTTAATAAAGGATGCTTAAAAAACACTGTACGGGTAAAACAGCCTCTTCCAAAAATACAGGAGGATCTCTGTTGCTTTTCCTTTCTCATTTTACGTATTTTCACTGTGAACCTAGTGGAACTGGGCTGACCCATTCATTTTATTTATTCTACCTTCAGTACAATGACAGAAAAAAGGCAAAAATTACCTGATGTCAGCTCTGGGGAGTGAAAGGGCATGTGCAGGCTAGCTCATCAGGGGATGGCTAGATAGTCAAGGTAGTGATAAGTAACTTACACACTGTGTCTGTGTATCTCATAGAACTCTCATACAAATGCATCCACACCCTGTAATGCATTCACTGGTTATTTATCTTGAAACTATTGTTTCAACAGTTACAGAGCCCATATGCCTTCACAGACACTAACACTTTACATATGACAAGTCAAATTTAATCTAAATAAAATAATTTAATCACTTCTGAAGACCAAGAAACTAGCCTCCCCACTTTCACAATTGAGCTGACTTTAAAAGGGCAAAACGAAAAAACGAAATCACTTGTAGTCTGAAATACAGTATAAGACATTTTTACCCCAAATACCAACTATTGTATCAGCACAGTGAGAGCAGTAATACCTGCCACAGATTACAATTGCAGACTCTACACAAAAAACCCTGAAGCGTGCATAAAGGGGTTAGATGCACATCTTCACTTCAAAACACATTGACACAGCCTCATACACACCTTTAAAATCATTTAGTATTATTTATGCAAGTTGAAGTACAAACATGCTAGTGAGACTGCTCAATTTCACAGCAAACCATCAACAGAACTGAAATCAAACTCTGGTTCTTGAATCTAAACATTAAAAGACTTCTTCATTTACATGTGAAAAACCTTGGGGGAACAGTATATCCAATGAGGAAAAAGATCATTCAGAAGAAAAGAATTTTTAAGAAATAATTAAGAGAATTGCTAACCTGAAACAAATATCTGAAATCTTTCTGTACTACATGCAATTTCATATTAATCTACCAAAACCTATATGAGAAAAGCACAACTTCTAGAGAACAAAACAGTATGGTGTAAAAACAAAGAAAAGGGTTAAGATTTCATAGACGACAAGGTGCTCTGTAAGCACCCAGGACAGCAGAGATCATGCCCAGCTAAAATGGGATTTCCAGAGCCTGACCTAAGTCACATCCTCTAAGACCCCCTAGCAGACCTGTGCTTGCTTTGTTTTTCCTGCAGAATGGAGTCCACTGAATTTCATCTAAGCATAACTAAACCTTGCCCTAAGTGTATGCTTTAGTGAGAACATGCTTTTTAGAACATAGTTCAAACTGAATGTTGGTCACCACTATCTATTATATGCCCTATGTGATGTAATATTGTAAGTACTACACATAAACAGATATGGAACTGCAGTGAAATGC